TCTTGTCTTGACTTGTTTTGTTTCATTTTGTTTAGTCTTATCCTGTCTTGTCTTGTTTCTTTGTTTGTTGGGGGGGGGGGTTGTTGGGGTGTTTGTTTGTTTGTTTGTTTGTTTGTTTTTTTTTTTTGTTTTGTTTTGTTTTGTTTTGTTTTGTTTTGTTTTATGTTTGTTAGTTTTGTTTTGGTTTGTTTGTCTGTTTTTCCCCAGTCTTGTATAATCTGCATGTTGTTAGGTTTTTACGCCAGCTATTCTTGCCTTTGAGAAAACTGTGGTCAGGGTTGTAACTGGTAATCTTTTGAATTTAATTATCTTTTTAGTAATATTTTAAGGCGGTCTTATTTTTCATTGAATTTTATACCTATTTTCAAATATATTTTGTATGTTACATGTACCATTCAAGTTAGGATTGACAGGCTTTCGAGTCACAGTGTTTTATTATACTTTTGTCAATCCTGGCCAGCTTGGATTGGATTGTTTTTGTTTAGTTTTCTTTACTTTTGTGGATTGCTTGTTGTACCTTGTAATTTGGCCGAATAAATAATAATAATAATAGTCCGGATGGATGTTGCATGCACCACTTGGTGTGTAGAGACCATCCGTGATTGGACCGCCAAATCATAATGACATTGCGCCCTCTACATAAATTCCTGATTACCATGGCGGATGAATAAATTACCACGATAAAAATACTAATCATTGACGCTCTTTCAAATCATTTCCAGACCAAAAAAAAATCAAAGTTACAACACTAAGTTAAGTGTTTCATCAAATCCTTCAAAACAAATTCTAACAACCTAATAATTTCGCGGTTATTTTTAAAGATACGCCATCTCAGTTAAGTACTACTTTTTAAAGATTATTTTTAGAGCGTTCATAAACTGTGTGCAAACCATTCCACGTTCTTTTACTCCATTACCTTGTTACAGCGTAGACCTACAATTGTCACTACTAGTACTAACACTGACTAATTGCAATGTAAGTAACACCTTCTTAACTTAGTCTTAGTTAAGAATTAACATTAGCAAGATTAGCATGATTAGGGGCCTACTCACCACTGTTTGAATGTAGCCTAGGTAGCCAGCCTAGGCCTATAGGATTAGCATGATTAGCAGCCTACGCCCCTAACTCCTAAGTAACATGCCTAAAGTATAAGTAAAATACCCCAAAATTATAATTTTCAAAAGATAGGGCCTACACTACAGCAAAATATACATGAAATTAAACCTTATAACCAGACATATTCAATGGTGCAAACTGTATACATGGTATACGGCTGCATTGTTTCTGTAACAACTAAGTCGGTTAAGCCTACAACCTTTTGAATTAAAGTTTCAACATGTTCAAAGTCCGCAGACTCCTCTGCCAGGTAGTTTGCCATGAAAGGCAGACCAGAAACATACAGGTTTTTAACTTTTATTCAGCAAGTTTGAACTAAAAACACTGTAATCTTCTCTGGAAAATACGCTTTACAACAAATTTGATATTGATAAAGGCCATTGAACATGTGAAATTATCAATTCCCAATAAAAGTGACATCTGAATTATGGTTGTTTAATCATGATAAGTTTATAAATTTATATCATTAAATATCATAACAATACACCTGATCTTGTATATTGCACACATGCAATCGACAGCTGACCCTTTTTTCCTGAATTATATCATGTCACCCTTCTTTTGAAAGCTTAATTTTGCCCAGTGCGAGATCTGGTGGTAGAAAGACAATGCACTTTTCTTACCACAGAAAAAAGAACAAGGAATTCATTAATGTAGAATTTAAAGGAAACCCTGCATGATATTTATGTGTAAAATTGTAACTTCAGACGAATTTTGTTAAAATTTTGTCAAAAAACAACAAAAGTACCGAAAAATCCTTGTTTCTGAACCGATTTCCACAAAACAAATGCTGTCCTGAGTCCCGACACTATGAAATCTTCTGTAGTCAATACATGGCAGCATTTCTCAACTTCCCTTGTCACAAGAGGGCAGTCAAACCAAATTTGATAACTCTCTCTGACACAAAAATAATCTAAAAATGGCGATACCCACAACGATCAGCTAATTGTGGTGCTCTGACTTTTTTCTCTGTTTTTGCAGGAAGTGAGGTACGTTTTTGCAAATATAATAACATGTAATGAAAGAGGAAAGATTAATCTATATTTAGGAGTGAGTTATTGCAGAAAAAGGTTGTTTGGGACAGAGAAACAATCCTTTGAAAAGTGACAATTTTGTGTGGGACAGGATATGAAATGTTTTAATTCACATTTGGGCATTATACCTAGTCAGTCCCTGTAAAGCCACGCAATCCTTTTTCTACACATTTACCTTCACTTTGTGTGTGATAACGCACGCGAGGGTTGGCTATACAGATTTTGATTCTGGTTTGCTCACCCATACCCATGAAAAAAAGATTGGGGAAAAATTCCCATATCTGGCTATATACATCAGTAATTTTTGCCTAAATGACCTAGCTATCACTATCAGCTATCAAAAAGTGGTAATATCTCCTAAAAAGTTGAAATTAGAAGAGACACATTTTGAAGTTTTACTGGAAAAAAAAACTTTGAAATCTTCACACCAGTCCCATAGGTTTTATGCACAGGATGACAAGTGATGCCCATGGGAATCTTTCCTTAGAAGTAGAAGGCTTCTCTCCATATTTTGATATTTAAGCTTAATCTTCCTAGTCATTCTAGTATCCTAAGCCTATGGAAACGTGCATTCTGAGCCTTTTAATGATGTAAATTTGTGTCATTGTTAATCAAGTAGTGTGCCAACGGGTGAGCAAGGACATTTTCATCACCTCTGACTTTTCAAGCAGCAGCACAATTAAATATGTGGTGATTTTTTGGCAATCGTGTATCTATGCGTTCCTATAATATAGGCCCCCCTATATGGGAACAAAATACACTTTTAATTATTTGTCTTCCAAACTAGTAGTTATTGGCTATAAGAACATACAGACAGGTATGTCATCTAGATAAAGGGCAGGGTTTTTAATTTTTGAGGGAAATTCAGAGGTAAAGTGATGATAAAAACAACAAAAATATGAAAATAAAGATGGCAATCACCTTGCAATGTACTGTGAATAGTGAACATTCAAGTCACACTGCACATGCATGAGACCAACACCAACCAGCTTAAATGGCATTGGAAAATTGTAATTTGTTATGCAAGAAACTGTTCAAAAATTACAAAAAAGGTGTCATTACATTGAGAGAAGTCTGGTTTATGTTAACAATGCCATATTTTAGTAATACAAACAATTCTTGATTCTAATTTGATTCAAACAAAACAGGGACCCTATACACTACATGATCTCCCATTTTTCTGGGTCAGTAGACTTGCTTTTCAAATTCCAGTTTCTGAAACAGAAATGTACTGAAAAAGTTGATCTGGTTGATCCATAACTCTAAACCATTTTCGAACCATTGAGATTTGGATAATGCGAGACTTTTTGTGGTGGAAAATGCGAGTTTTTACTCATGACCCATCACTGTTTTTGACTTCACGAAGCACACACTCAAGCTGCATGGAATAATTTAGTCAAAGTAGAATCCCATTCACATACAGACACGAAAGGTATCACACAGTGTTGTAGTCAAGTACTTTTTTCCAAGTACCAAGTATTGCTGAGTACTTAGGTTGCCGAGTACGACTACAAGTACAAGTACTTGTACCTCCGAGTACAAGAATGGGTCTCTGAGTACGAGTATTTCTACTGACAAGTACGAGTATGAGTACTTAATTGTACTTCCAAATATGATCTGAGTATGATCGTACTCGCATTTCCAAATACGCAGCCATACAGCAAATGTTTTATTGTGCGTAATTGGCGCAGGTCCAGTCAGAACGATATACAGACCCACTCATGGCTAGCTCAGTTAAATGTCAGGAAATCTTGATTTCTCCTCAAGCCAATCAACCATTTCAAATTGAAAGTATCAATAATATAAGGCTATGATAAGTGAAGCTATAACATTTTCCCCAGCCAAGTACTGTTATTCGATTACGAGTTCTTTAATAATCAAGTACAATTTTGATATGTCAAGTACGAGTACTTTACTGCCCGAGTACGAGTACTGTCATTTCGAGTATGAGTACTTTAACATTAAAAAAAAAGTACTCGAGTAGTACTCGAGTACAAGTAACAAGCATGAGTACTACAACACTGGTATGACACCTACATTTTGATTTTTTCTTCCCACATATGACCATAGTCGGCTTATTATTGCACACTACATGTATGAACTTCAAAATCACCAACTCAATTGCTTACTGGCACAGTTACCCTATTAAAACTATGTAAGATCATGTCAAAACTGATGACCAAACATTCACATATATCTGGCCATCACTTATCTTGTGCAAAAACCCTATCTATGAAATTGGTCTGAACATTTGAAATTGTTTTTTTTTTTAGTAAATACTTCCATATTTTCCCTGCTAATTTTGACTTATTAAGACATAGCCCTGTTATCACTTACTTTATAATAAAAATTATTGATGACCAGATATTGGAATCTTTCCAATGGCGACATCAATTGGGAAATGTAGCCTAGAAAGCAATAACAAAAGAAAAAAGAGGTGCCCATAAATTGGCTCAAAAAGTATGTGAAGGGTTGCCTAACATTCTTTTCCATGTGAAATAAACATTTTAAATACATACACACACATACAAAATATGAGTGTTGGAATTTGTCTGAATGAGTATGGTTTGTTATAAATTATGCTAGGGAGTTAGCATTAATTTTTTTTTAGTAGGCCTAAGACCAAACAACATCACACTTTTTTTTTTACATGTATGCTTTCCTAAGTGATACATGTAGATAGTCCCTAGTTCATCTGGCAACCCAATTTCACTCCAATAGAAAAGTGCATATCTAAAGAAAGGCATTATGTAAAAAGATGTCATGTCTTAATTTTCTTCTGATATTTCTAGACATTAAGATTACTTTAACTTCACCTTTCATTATACTCATTTTCTCTTTATATTTTAGATGCCAAAACTACAAGACATTCTAGACCACCACCACTCCAACCCCCAACACATCTCAGTTCTGATTTGTGACAAAGAAGACAGTGATCAAGCCACAGCATCAAATGGAATTAAATTTGCCATAGCAGACTCCACCACTTGCTGTGAATGTATCATGTATGATGTCTCCAAATTGCCAAAGATGACCCTAGGCAGTTCAATCGCCTTGATTAATCCAATGGTCAAACAGTCACCACAACAACAAATCCTGATCCTGAAACGTACCCGAGTCATTTCTGCAGGGAAAGTCGAAGTTCCAACTGAAATTGCTGAAAGAGCAAAAACACTTCTGCACCCCCAACCAGCACCATTCATTGAGATCTGTGACATTCCGACTTCACCATTATCCAAGATGGTATCTGTGAAGGGCAAAGTTATTGGTGTAAGTACAAATCTGTCTGTTTTTTAGCATATCTAACCAAACATTTTACAATATTTTATAATCTTTTCTGTCAAAAAATCATGTATTCTTGTTCATATACAGTGACCCTTCTGCCCCCCCCCCAAATACAACACTGGTATCCCTATACAACCCCCTAAGGGTTCCTTTGGACTACCCTGCTAAACCGTGCTAAATGCTAAAAACAGGATCCAACTATGTTATCACATTTAGTTGCCTGCTGAATCCCACAGATTTCAACAGAAATATATAAGGCCTTATACTGCTCAATCCAACAAGCTCCATTTGGGTATGTCAAATAGTTGGGTTGCCCTTGGGATTAGGCAAGTTTGAATTGGTTTGGGGGTTGAAAGGTCAAAGATGAACGTCATCGTGATAAGTTAAAGATAAATCATTTCCAGATGATATGACTTGGATAAGAAATAAAATTTGGCTGTTTAAATTTAGTAACTGAATTTAGACAGCTTATTTCCATGAAAAAAATATTGTGAAAACAAATTATTTTTCCACTTCTTTTTATTCTACATAATGATACCTATCTAAATGTACCTTTGCAAAACATATACACCTACGTACAGAAATAAAAAAAATCTTTACTATAGTGCTTATTGAGTAATTCAGCCTAAACTGATGTTTTTTTTCTTTTGCACCCTAGAATATCTGCACTAAAAATATCTCTTGAATATTACAAATCTTCAATATTAAAAAATAGAGAAACACATGATATGCATACTTCTGCAATTATTTTCTTCAAAAAAAATCGACTATTTCAATAAATGTCAATCAACTTACTGGTACATTGTAATTGACAATGTCCCTGTTACTATTTTTCTCTCAGTAAAACAACTCTAACAACATACCTGTATTTTTTTCTCTTTCTTTTAGCAAGAGGTGCCACAGACGGTTATCTCTAATGGACGTCAAACAAAAGTGAAGAATATCACTCTGAAATCTCACGACAGTACCTGTAGAATCGCACTATGGAGGAGCTTTGTGGATCAAGAAGTGAAAGATGGTGAAATACTTCAAGTAACCAACACTGTTACTTCAGAATTCAGAAATGAAGTGTATCTTTCAACAACTGGTCTGACCACTGTAAAGGTATGTTCATTTGACTGTCCACTTGATTACTGACTTCATCATATATTTTAACACACACAGCACTGATTACAAGTACCCATTGGATGAACACTCAAACTCGTTCTGGTTCCAGTACTCCGATACTACTAGTCCAAAAGCCAGGTGTCGTTTATTTTTTGGAAATGACCAAATATTTAGTGGGTATTTTTGAAAAGGGTACACCTTGGGAAATTCGAATTAGCTATAAGTCTTATGGTTCCTTGGCGGTGGACCTGGATACCAGAAGCACATAAGTGACGTCACATTAGTAGGGATATAAGGACATGCAACAGCCGTTGTGTCTGGAATTACGCCATAGGTTTACATGTAATAGGTAAATGCAATACTTTTACATTGAATTCAACATAAACTCATCACAATACAAATTTTAGAAGTTTATAAAATGCCACAAGGAGAAAGCTAAATGAAAAATTGGCAGATCAAAATGTAAATGTAGGCCTAAACATGTCTGGGCTTCATTATTTAGGTCAAAGGTCAAGGTCAAATGAAAGCAATGTATATATATTTCTTTGTACCGAAAATCGAATTTTACTATGAACAATTGTATTATCGTATTTCACTAGTTTATTGTGGAAAATACAATAAAACTGCACTGGTTGGCATTTCTGAGCAAGGGAAGATGTTAAGTTATGCCAAGTAGAAGTACAAGTACAGTCTGGTGCTCAACTTTCATATACTTGTTGTGGAATATATTTTCTGTGGGTACCAGACAACGGCTTTGGCAATACATGTATTTACATAAAGGGAATGTATGTAGATCATTGGCTTTTGCTGTAATTTCAAGAAATGAACTATTTGAGGGGTCAGTATTTAGATCAAATATTGTTACACTGACATGTTTGAAGTTTTGCGTTCGAAAATGCTGGAAAAACCAAGAAAAACAAAACTGTTCAAGTAGTCTGATTCCTTGACTCCACTAAAGGTAAAATGGATCAATTTATAGATGCCGGAAAATTGGAGGGTAAGGGAACCAGACTAGCTGGCCTGCACCCGTTCATGAACATGTAACAAATAGCAAACAAAATTTTGACTGGAAAGAGTTTTTGTAAAGTTGGAGCAGTAGTTGAAAAATAGTTAGGTTTTTCCAACGGTGGTCGGCCGACCACCGTTGGAAATGTATACAAAAATATAATTTTCTTGAAAATTACTTCACACCAGGTGCCATAATTTTACAGGATGCTTTAAACTGTCATTTACCAACATCCTAGTAAGGTATTTCGTAAAAACTTGGTAGTTTTATTTTCTGATGTTTGAAAATGTTGTATATTCCCTTTAAGCATCCAAACAACTATTAGCATTTTTTAAATAGTAAAAAAGAAAAACTAAAAGTAAACAATATCAATGGAACACCTGATTATTTACAAATTAAAGAGGGAAATGATTTAACAAGTAATTTAGTATTTAAAGTTATTGTCCTAGGTTACATGCAAATCTCCTATTTAATATGTCATGTACATACATTGTAATTTGGAAAAAATGTGCATACTTTGTGCATGCGTAATTCCGTTACCGTAATTCCGTTACCGTTTCGTAATTCCGTTACCACTTGAAAAAAATACCAAAAAATTACTATTTTAAACTTTTTATTTTTCATTTATGTTTATAGTAGGGTCTTTTCTCAACATACATGATTTGAAGAAAAAAAAACAAGAAAATTTGTGAAATAGGTAACTTTTGCCATTTTTTCAGTAACGGAATTACGTGCTAATTTTGACATTTTTAAATGAAAGCCTACACTATATTTACTCTCAGACAACTCACATGAAAAACAAAATTGGACCTTGTTGTGATTCTGGTACAGCTTAACAACTGCTTTTATTATATATCAACAATAAAACATAAGGCCAATGGCCCTTAAACTTAGCAGTTTGTAGAAGTCAACATTGCGAATTCTGAGATGGAAAACAATGGTTACCCAGTACATATACCCAATCATTTATCTCCCCATGTCCCCCGCCAACTTGGCACGCTTACCACACATAGATTTGGACACGCTTGTCCTGAAAACTTGGCACGCTTGCCACACATAACCTTAAACTTGGCACGCTTGCCACACATAGATTTGGACATGCTTGTCCTGAATACTTGGCACGCTTGCCACACATAACATTAAACTTGGCACGCTTGCCACACACATTTGGGCACATTCGCCCTTAAAACCAATTGACAGAATGATTGAAAATGTATTAAGTATTTATAGTTCTAATTTGAATATAACCTTAATCTATATTTCCAACGTTTGTATGAACGTTTGGAGTAATGCAGTAGTAAACCCCCTTCATTAATTTGCATAGGACTTATTAATCTCACAAATATTAAGTTTGACTATACCTTAACAAGCAATGTTTCCACCTTTAGGACGTACGGTTGGAGAATGGGGAATTCCCCATTTTTTTAAATGGGGAATTCAGTTCAAAAAACGAAATTGAAAAAAAAATACATATTTCTGGTAAAAACAGTGATTTTTGCAATTTATGATTAAAAACGTTCAGATTTGGTAAGAAAATAAAATTTTGTGTATGTATTTCTTTCTGAATTACAAGGAAAAGGTTTGATGTATTTTATAATGTTACAAGTTACTAACATTACTCCATTAAGGGTCATTAAAAAATTCCTATAAATATATATGGTACTGTAGGCCTTCATGTAAAAATGTCAAAATTAGCATGTAATTCCGTTACTGAAAAAAATGGCAAAAGTTACTTATTTCACAATCTATTTTTTTTCCCTTCAAATCATGTATGTTGAGAAAAGACCCTACTATAAACATAAATCAAAAATAAAAACTTTTAAATAGTAATTTGTTGGCATTTTTGCAAGTGGTAACGGAATTATGAAACAGTAACGGAATTACAGTAACAGAATTACGCATGCACAAAGTATGCACATTTCCTCCAGATTATGTACATGACATATTGAATAGGAGATTATAATTTGCATGTAATCTTGGACAATATAACTTTAAATACTAAATTACATGTACTTAGTTAAAGTACATTGTATGTGAATATACAGTTGGATATTTCTGTCAGAAAACATTGACTAATGTTGACATTGAATCTTCAAAGTTTAAAGGCACCCAAATAGCACTGTTGGCAGGCAGCCGAACGAAGACCACGCCGAGTTTTGAAAAATGCCGGTAACGGTCATCAAATTCAAATGAGTACATGATGCAGCAAAAAGTTTGCCCCTCGTCTACAATCGGAGTACAAAATCGTCGTTGAATTTCAATGTTGAATTTCATTTCTAAAATCTGCTAACCAGCAATGCAGCCATCACCAGACTGCTTTCATTTGACCTTGACCTTTGACATAAAAAAATTAAGCCCAGACATGTTTAGGCCTACATTCACAATTTATCTGCTAATTTTCACCTATATGATATGTAGCTTTCCCCTGGTGCCATTTTATAAACTTTTAAAATTTGTATTGTGGTGAGTTTAAGTTGAATTCAATGTTAATGTATTGCATAATACCTATTACATGTAAACCTATGACGTAATTCTGTTACCTCCCAGGCGTAATTCCATAACCGTGATTAAAATGCAAATTATGAAACGAGTGATTATTTTTTCAACTTTGATCTACATTGTAGTTAACAACAACCCTGAACTCTACAAATAACAAATAGTGTCCATTTTTATAATTTCAAAACTTCAGAGAGTTTTATTAATTTATGCGAGAACTCAAATATGCTTGTCCTCCCTCCATAATTCCGTTACCGATATTAAGCTCTGCCCCATAAAGGCTAATCTTGTACGATTCTTTTTAGCAATCAATCAATTCTATTGGGTCTTGGCTCCCTTTCCATGGTTAGATTAGTTGCCTAGCATAGAACATATTTTCTTGGGAAAGAATAATCCTTGACAAAGTGACAAATGGGCGTAATTCTGTTACCAAAGAATCGCCCATATGAATAGAATATCTCACCTCCGGGATCATTATGATGAGGATAATTTCACTGTGTATGCTGTCAAGCAGCAGCAGCAGCAGCAGCTCCCGCTTAATCCATAGTAAAACTCTTCAGAACCTGAACTTTAACACTAGAAACGAATCTACATGAGCTAAGTCAAACAGAATTATTTCAATAATGGTACTAGGTTGCTTTATAATCCCAAACCTGCCTAGTAATTTGTCAGGGAAGCAAAACAAAAGGTCCTTAGCAAAGGACCCATATGACAGGAGAAAACAACGTACCTTGTATGCTTCTCCGAAGTCTAGGCTAAGATTGTTTACTTAATCTTATGTTCTGTATTTTGGTCCCAATTTCAACATGTGGTACACTTTGATAAAAACAAGAGCGGATCCAGAACACATTTAATTTTGGTCACCCTAAAAAAAAGGTCCAAAAATTACGGAAGGGGGTTCAGGGCCACCAAATTTTTTTTTTAGATTCCAGATGTTCTGCAAGGGCGGATCCAGAACACAATTTTTTTGGGGGGCCAAAAAAAATGTTGGTCCCCCAAGCAAAAAAGTGGGTCAAAAAAATTCGGCGTGGGGTTCACGACCCACTTAAGGGGGCCCCAAAAAATGTTCAGATTCTAGATGCTCTGTGGTGCGATCTGAGGCAATTTCTGACACTTTAACTAATTTTTTTTTTTGAGGAAAAGATGGTGATGTACTCATTGCCTGCCTTTTTGCGATGTCACATAAAAAAAAGAAAAAAATGGTTTCGTTTGGGGGGGGGCAGAGGCACCATGGCCCCTTTTTGCCCCCCCCTTGGATCCGCCCTTGATGTTCTGTAGGTGCGATCTGAGACAATATTCTGACCAGTTTAACCAAATTATTTTGGATCCCCAGATCCACCCTTGGACACAAAAGGAGGGCTGTACAGTAACTTTCCAGGTCATCTAAATAAGCAGAAGACCATATTAGAGGTGAAAAAGACAGCCAACAAGTTTAGAACTCGATCCCTCAAACAAGTTCAATGAGTCCACGTGTACAAGATTCAGAAGTGAAAGCCAACCCAATTTGGTTACTGAATAAACTTTCGACAAGTTGTGTTTGTTTGTAGGTTGGAAGTTAAATTACCAAGTTATGTTTGTCTTATAATGATTTATCTGTGGTCCAAAAAAGGCAACCAACACTTACATTTATGTAATAAAATGTTCGAACATGCTGTTCAAAGTACTTACCAGTAGACATCTCCACTAAATACTCGTCTATTGATATGAAATCATTTAAAAAGGTAATAAAACGTAAACATACGACTTGTATTCTTCTCAGTGCTGCGCTGCCTGCACAGCGATGAGTGCGCCATCCAATAGCCGCTGGGTCAGTAGTACGTGCGTTCTGCGAACACAGTCTATCCATTACTGACCTGACGGCTGTTGCATGTCCTAAATACTGCTTATGTGACGTCACTTATCTGCTCCTGGTGTTCAGGTCCACCGCCAGAGAACCATAAGACTAGCCAATGCGAATTCCCCAAGGTGTACCCTTTCCAAAAATACCCACTAAACACTTGGTCATTTCCAAAAACAATCGACCCCTGGCTATTGGACTATACTGTATGTGCAATGTACGTATCTTCAAATGAAATCATTAATTATGCAAAGGTTACTTACCTGCAGTATAATCGAGAAGTCCTCCAGACATGAGAATCAACTTGCATTATGCTGCCTATCGGGGCGCCTTCACCAGTTTTTAAAGAACAAATCCTCTTCCCACTCAATCACCTGACCTCTGACCTCTTTGAATGTACTGCCACATGAATAGGATTACGTCCTTAATTCCTTAACCCTAAAAGGGCCGGGGGAAGGGAGCGGAATCCCCTCAACATTTTCTGTGATAACCTCTACAAAAATTTTTTACGCAACCCGACCTGTTATGACTTTTTAGCCTCAAGCTTTGCGCATCTTTTGATACCAAAAACATAAAAATCGGACCACAGGTTGCCACATAGCAAAAATGTTTCCATCATACACACAGAACAGAAATTGCCATTCATACATATGAATAATTAATTACCCATAATTCCAAAACCTGTGACCTATGAAATTTCTTGGGTATGTTAAGGAAAAGTTGCTCTATGCATGTACTGAGTTTCAAAAATGTTTGTCAATGACCGAGATCTTGGGGGAGTGGGGCGCAATCTGGAACCCCCCCCCCCCTTGGCTGAGAGATGACCAAAATAACCCAGCCCTTTTTAGGGTTAAGGCTTGCTGGCAGGAATAAAGGATGGGTGGCAAAAAGCACCAGTTAACCTAAACAACACATCCTAGCATGTAGGAGCTGAAGAGTCATTTAAGACCCAGAATATGGCCAACAAGAACAATGAAAGTTTAACAACGCTGAACACACTAACAACTTTAAACAACTATGAAAACTCTTTTTTACAATGTTAACCAATAACATCTGGTAGAAAGAAAAACTAATATAGAGATGAAGAAAAACAATCACCTCAGAAATATTTGTGCCAGTTGCACAAGGCTATAAACATTGCCCAAAACTATCAATCATGACAATCACTACTCCAATCATGGAAAATCAAGGGGTACAGTTACCAAAAAAAATAACTGGGTGGGAGTTGATTCTCGCCTCCAGAGGACTAGTATAATACACTTGTAATAACCCTGAATTATTCTTGAAATCTTTCATAGTAATGCTCCATAATGTCACTGGCCAAAACTCAACATATTAACAGTCACTGCTGCAGAATTTCCCAGGATTTAGGCATTGGTCATTCCTCCACAGACTATATTCAAGAAATAATGCAAGAATTTGCACGATTCAGGCTACTGGTACATCCTATTTTTTCATGAGGCCAATTGCAGCATTTTGTTGGATTGAGACTACATCCTAGCAAAAAGTCACATGGAGTTTAAGTTAATATATCAGTTCCATGCATGTAAAGTTTTCTTTTTTTGGACAGTCTTTCAACAAGTGAACTTTGCACTTAAAATATTTTTGTTTTATTCCACAGAAACTTGATATCACACAGATGAAAGAAACAACAACAGTCATTGGTTTCGAAGTTCTGGAGTGGGATACCAGTGCATTTCAAGTGACAACAGACCAAGAGAGGTACCCCTCTTATCTCATTGAGAAAGAACAATTGGCTGCATTGTTCAGTGTACCAGAAGAAGATGCAGAAAAGACCTTACAACAAAACATACCATTCACCTGTAACATAACCGTATCTGATAACAAGATCACAACTATCTCCTTTGATTAAAACACAACGCTACCTGAAAAGTCATTGCAAGTTATGATAACGCCCCCCATTAAACTGTTTACTGTAATTGTCAAATGATTGTTAACATATTATACTGAGTTATGTGTTGTATTCTTATATACTATTTGGCCTTTAATCTTCATTTTGAATTTTATAAACTCATTTTAAAGTTTTTCACTACATCCAACAACTTCCTCATTTAAGTCATATTACGGCAAACAAAAGAAAAACACTTGTTTTTACACTGACCTAACATAATTTGAATTTTTGCAGCCTAATTGTCTACCTTAAATTGAGTATTTCCAGTGCTACCTTATAATTTTGAATGAGCATTAATTGGGATTACATGTACTTTCAACAAACAGAATCATTTTTCACACTTGGGTTATCCATGTCAAATCACCCAATGGGTTAAACCCTTGTTTCCCCGTATTTAGTATGTGAAGTAATTTAGGCTAAAAAAGCTGGAATTTTAAGTTTTAGCACCATCACACAAACAGTTTTCAAGCTACCACACCCCATTGTTTGGCAAATTGTCAAAATGGGCATGGCCACCAATTTTCAAATGATATCTCCATAATGTGTTAGTTAAATATATTAGTTGTTTTTGCTTGCTTTTAAAGGGAATATACATCATTTGCTTTTGCTGTAATTTTCAGAAATGGATGGAATTGGGGGATTGGAAATATAAAGCAAATATAGTTACACTGACTTTTTGGAGGTTTTGGGTTCGAAAATGCTATAAAAACCAAGAAAAACGATCATTTACCTGTAGTCTGGTTCCCTGACTCCATATAAGAAGAAACAGAGCAGTTTACATACATTGGGGAATTGTAAGGTCAGGGAACCAGTCTAGCTGGCTCGTGCCCGTTCATAGGTTTGTAATCGATTGCAAACAAGTGCAATAGTCAATTGGGGCCAGTATTTGAAAAAAAAGCCAGTTGTTTCCAACGCTGATCGGCCGATCAGCGTTGGAAATTGATACAAAAATACCACTTTTCTTGAAAATGACAGTATACCAGGTGCCATAATTTTACAGGATGCTTTAGACTGTCATTTACCAACGTCCTATTAAGGTATTTCGCAAAAACTTGGTAGTTTTATTTTTCGATGTTTGCAAATGTTGTATATTCCCTTTAAAATTAAGGTAACCTCATAAGGAATCCAAATGTATCATTACTTTTCATGTCAAAGTAATTTGAAGTATGATGACCTTTTGACCTTTACTTTGAACTTGAATTTGACCTTGTGGATCACGTACCTAGAGACGAACTTCGATGAAAATTATAACCCACCATGTTTTCGACAAAATATCCAAAAATTTTGGGTATGGTATTTTTTGTTTAGTTTCTACCTCATGTCAAAGTTGGCATACATGTTGCAAAATGTAATATCTCTATACATGTACACATTTCAGGGACAAAAAATTCCCTGATTTAAATCCACAAATACACTGCAGCGACAAAACAAATCACTACTTTAAATCCACTAGTACACTACATATGGATATCACATTTTGCAACACATGCAAACTTTAAAATGAGTTAGAAACCAAAATAAAAAAAGGTCCAGTCATCAGGTGGCACAGAGAAAATGCTTAACAAAATTACCGTTTACTTTAAATTGCCAATTTTAAAAAAAATAAATAAAATTTTGGAGATGTTAGTTTACGATGTAACAACAATTTGACAAATTTTGTGATTTGAGGGAGGCCTTGAATTTTCATATTGAATTTTATAAACTCATTTTAAAGTTTTTTACCTTGATTTTAACCTTGTAGATCACCTGACCTTGATATGAACTTGATGAAAATTAGACCCCACCGCGTTTTCTACAAAATATTTAAACATTATGGGTATATATATTTTTTTTGGTTTGTATTTCATTTCAAAGTTGGCATACATCTTGCAAAATGTAATATCCCTATGCAGTGTACTAGTGGATTTAAAGTAGGGATTTTTTTGTCCCTGCAGTGTACTCATGGATTTAAATCAGGGATTTTGTTTGTCCCTGAAATGTGTACATGTATAGGGATATCACATTTTGCAACACATGTGCCAACTTTGACATAAGCCATAAACCAAACAAAAAATATTATACCTCCAATTTTTGGATATTTTGTAGAAAACATGGTGAGGTATAATTTTCATTGAAGTTCATTTCAAGGTCACATGATCCACAAGGTCAAAGTAAAGGTCAAAGTAAAGATCAAAAGATCATCAAACTTCAAATAACTCCGATATAAAAAAAAATGGTAAATTTGGATTTCTTATCATGTAACCTTTCAAAAAAACCCAAGAACATCCAAGTTGGCACACACATTATGGAGATGTGATCATTCGAAAATTGGTGGCCACCCTGTTTTGACCAAATTTTCCAAACAATGCCGAGCGGTAGTTCGAAAACCATTTGTCCGATGGCGCTAAAACTAAAAATTTCAGCTTTTTCAGCTTAAATCACCCCACATGTTTCTAAACATGAGCAAATTTGAAGGGGTACAGGTTTAACCCATTGGGTGATTTGACATGGAATGACCCCATTTTCCTACTGACTAATTTTTTTTTAAGGGCCGTTACTGTAAACACACTACACTGTATTTTGTTTGGCCTTAATGTGGTTCAATACAAAAACAATAATGCCATTCCAAATCTGTCATATTATATCCATGTTTCAAAGGTATTTGCATTGTTTACATATCACGCTAGTATGTAATGTGATACTTCATACTTCTCATATAGCTATTTATATGTCCTATGCAATATTCTAAAATTATTTCTAGCATCAGTCGCTGTGTGTTTTTACATGTAGTATATAGCTTCATAGAAAACAGAACATTATTTATTCAACCACAGATTCTTTACGCCATGATAAATGACTCAACTAAACTTGTGTACAAAGCATACAGAATAGTTTGGTTTGATGTGTGATACTCACATACACACATTGTATGTTCTATACACAAACAGACTGTTATCACACCTCTACCCAAAAAAATATGGAAGTCATTTATCCTTGTGTAGAAGATCTGTGGTGCAATAGTATAATTCCATATCAATTCAACACGATTTTTTTTCTGACCCTCACAGATTAAAATGATATTTGATGTGATGATGGCCTATATGACAAACCCCTAGAACTTTTTTTTGTAATTTGGCTTGTGTATTTTTCAGATACCAGTAAACAAAGTTTGACTAATTAGCATGACCTTCAAACTGTAAATGTCTCCAAACTATACATGTACTACCTACAAAACCAATGTATCCTTAATTTATTTTCATAAAATGAAACCACAGTCTCAGTATGAAGCACAGAGAAAATGCTTAACAAAATGACCTGTTACTTTCAAGTGCAAATTTAAAAAAAAATTTTTTGGAGATCTTAGTTTACTGACAGTGTAACAACAATCTTGAAAATTTTGTGATTCGCAATCCTAACATTTCCAATTATCATTTTTTAAAGATAGCATTGTCCATGAAAACCTCTAATTTGATACCCACTTGTACAATACAGCAAGTGCATGTTGACATTTACATACTTGCCCTTGATAGCCCTCATGTGTTGTATCAAATGTTTATAGCAATTGGTACATCCAAAGTATGTGGATAGTGGGATAACTGCATGAAGGGCAGTACCATTGGTGGGGGCATGTGTTCCTCATTGAATGATCATACCCCTATTCCCTCCCCTTCCCCATGCAAACATGTAAAGAACTTCAATTGAGTGTTACCATACCATGTACCTGTAGTTCGATCATCATTAAATGTGATTGGAACTTCTCCAACCTATTTTCAATGAGTAAAGCGTGCAATATTAGACCTAGTATCTCTAAACTTTCAGTTTGGGCTGAGAGGGGGGTACCTGCCTTGCATACATTTTTTTCCAAAAAGATAATTCAAAATGATTTATGAGGGAAATGATATTGGCCAAATGATATATTTTAATATTCATGATTTAACAGGGGGGGGGGGGGTTAGGAGAAAAAGCAAAAACATCTACTGGAAGATGTTATCTCACACAGTCACACCCCCACCCCAACCTTCCCCCTCCCCTCTCTACTACCCCCATATAGTTGCACCACTATTTACATGTAGAGTTAATATATGTAGCAAGATACTACATGTACATAAACAATGCATATAACACATTAAAGCTGCCAAGGGCAAGTATGTACAGATAAACATGTACATACAGTATGTACATTTGTATCTAAATCTATGCAAATTACGTTTGTTTCTGGCCAACTTAACATTAATACTATAGCACCCATCCTAAAATTTTCAAACATGCTGCGTACATCATACACTCACATCTGAAAAAAATTCTGAAATTTGGACCATATATAATTTTGTAATTCAACACATTGTCTCTGCTTCATAGTGCAATTTTGATTTATGTTATCAATGAAGACCATTCAAATATTTTTAATATGATATGCAATTTGGCTTTGTAAGTACTTTACTTTTGCACAAAGTTAAGAGGTTTTGCTAACACTGTAGTGCCTTTCAAGTGACAACAGACCAAGAGAGGTATCCCTCTTATCTCATTGAGAAAGAACAATTGGCTGCATTGTTCAGTGTACATGAAGAAGATGTGGAAAAGACTAGTCGAACTCTCAAAACTATTACTTAGGAATATGAAAACAAATTTCAAAGCAGATTTGAAATTCAGATCAATCACACTTGTCACAAATTTTCTGATAATAGTGCAGACCACATTCATTTTATTGAATGCAAACCACATTTTTCAAAAACTCACTTGGAATTTTAAATCTTTCAGTTCTTATCCCGTTTTTAATTGTTGTATTCTGGTTTCAGATATTCTCTGATAGCAAGTTTTACAACTTAGTTGTAAATCCTTCGGTCAATATTGTTTATTTTTTATAAACTGTTGTATTGTGATACATTACAATTTTGTTCATTATCCTTATCTATTTCAACAGTTCTCATACTTGTAAAGTTGTTCAATTGTTTACACCTACTTGTTGAACTTGCCGAAAAACC